TCCGCCTCCTGGGTTCAAGCGATTCTCTTGCCTCACCCTCCCTAGTAGCTGGGATTACACTTGTGTGCCACCCATGCCTGGCTAATTTTTGTATTTTTAGAGATGGGGTTTCATCATGTTGGCCAGGCTGGTCTTGAATTCCTCATCTCAGGTGATCTGCCCACCTTGACCTCCCAATGTGCTGGGATTACAGGTGTGAGCCACCGTGCCTGGCCCTGTCTCTCATTTCTGATGCCACCACAAGAGTCCAAACTGCCACTGTTTCTTGCTTGGATGACTGACATGGCCTCTTAACTGGTCTCTGCCTTCCCCTTTAGTTCTCTTCCACAATCCTGTGGATCTTTCTAAAAGAGTAAATCAGATCTTGTCACTCCTCTCCCCTGTATCACCACTTGAAAGCTTCCTCCTGCTTTTGGAATATAATCCAAACTCCCCACACTGTCTAACTAAGCCTGATAGGATCCAGTTACTGCCTGCTTCCCAGCCTCAAGCCCTTCACTATGTTTTGGTTACATTAGCCTACTCTGAAGTCCTCAGATGCACCAATTCCATTCCCATCTCAAGAGCTCGGCATTTACTGCCCTTCTCCCTGAACTGCTGTTCCCCCAAATCCCCTGCAGAAAACCTAAGCATTCTTCAGATCTCAGCTTACATGTCACCATCTTGGAGAAGCCTTTCTCAGGCCAGTGGTGTAGATAGAACCCTGTTGTATTCTAGGACAATACCATATACTCCTCTTTCTTGCAGTTTTAAAGTTTTGTATATTTGCTTCCTTTTGTCTTTTTCACTAGTTTACTGTCTATCCCAACCACGAAGGTGTCAACTTCACAAGGGCTGAAGCCCTGTCTGGTTCACTCTTGTCTCACCAGGACCTAGTGTAATGCCTGCCATACAATAGGTGCTGAATAAATAGTTACAGAGTGAATAATTATTTACAGAGTGAATTATTTACAGAGTGACTGCCATCTCTAAAGGAGTGGTTGAATCTGGTAATGTGGTTTGGTAAATTTTTTGAGATTTAATAGCTAGACTACAAGCGTGTACCACCATGCCTGGTTAAGATAGATAGATAGATAGATAAGATAGATTAGATAGATAGATAGATAGATAGATAGATAGATAGATAGATAGATAGATTGATTTTTAGTAGAGACAAAGGTATTGCCATGTTGCCCAGGATAGTCTTGAACTCCTGGGCTCAACTGATCCTCCTGCCTTGGCCTGCCAAAGTGCTGGGATGATAGACATAAGCC